ATCTGGTGATGCAGACATCTCCAAAACCTGACAGGTGGACAAATCCAAACTTGTTTTTATTAAAACAAATCTAAATTTGCATTGTGACAATACAGAAACTTTCTGTACTGCCCCTATTTTGTGTTTACTTCCTTTGTCACTGCCTTTTATAATGAGTTCAACCCCATTGGATGCTACAACCAATTACAATGATGGGAAAATATATAAAAGGGTTTGTTTCTTTCTTCTGGAAGAGAGAGTTCTGACCTCCAGTGTGGGAGTGGTGTTTGCGTCACCAAGTTGCGTTGCGGGTGTGGCTCTGCCTGGGTCTGAGGAAGCTGAGGAAGAGATGCGGCGATGCTCAAGTTTTCACTGACTTGTCCTTTATAGCCACCGTAACAACAAGTTTCCTGGTAATTGCTGACGAGTGCCAGTCTTATGTTACCTTCGTGTTGAAAAATTACCGGTGCGATGTGTTAGGACACCTCCGAAAACGGCTGCCTGTTCATAATTTCTGTCCGTTCTGCCAAGTCACCTGCCAGCCAGTGAACTGCTGACGTGTAACCTCCTGACATCACCACTGCAAGCCTCTTGGGTCAGTTTCACTCATACACTTACATACATACATTCTCCACCCAACCTCCCTTTATTTTCATTTAATTAGTTATTTGAGAAATTTGAAAAGTTTTGTTTATTTATTTCTTGGTGTATTTGTTGTTGTTTTTTGAGGGGAATATTGTTTTGGGTCACTTAAAATGATTGTAGGATATTGACTATATAAATATTTATTTTTTGGTATTGTTGTTACTTGTAGTTGTATTTGCCATTTAAATTAGTTCATTAAATCTTTCTAAGTGGAATTCGATTTTCTTGTTCTTATTTCGTATGGTTCTATGTTACTGTATGTAACGGAGGGTCTTGTATAAGTTTTGTTTTCGCTATCCTGGGTAATTAATTATAGTTAGATTTATTTGTGGCAAGGTTTAAAACTTGTCTGGCACCCGAAATCATGCATAAAATTTGTTAATATATGTATGTTATATTATAATATATTTTATTTTTTTTTGCCCGAGGGTGACTGCGTTAGAGGGAGATATTACCAGACGCACCGCCCCAACAGCGCCTTCTGTGGTTCAGTGGTAGAAATCTCGCCTGCCATGCGGGAGGCCCGGGTTCGAATCTAACCTAAGAGTTATTAATTAAAATTTTTTTTTTTGTGTGTGTGACCACCGTTACAGCATATAATAAATAATCAGCTACTAATAATAGCATTATACAAATAGAAAAAAATGCATCCAACAATGCACCTTAACGCACCTCTTTTTTAGACCAGTAAACCCATTAGTCCACAAAGTGGCACAAATTAATTTGTTATTTAAACCACTTGGTGCAAAACGTGAAATTACTGTTGCGCTGGTCTAAAAATAGCAACAAATCACACCAAACATGTCTTGCGCCTTGTTGCACTGGGTGAATGACTGGGCCCATCACTGAAAATGTTTACATGCGCAACAATGCACCGATAACTCAAAAAAATCAGATTATTGTAATAACCTATTGTCACAGTTTACATCCAAATAAATAACCCAGCGATGCAAGTACCCCACTTTTACAAGACTTCATTATTATACCAATTTATTTCCTAGTGACATCAAAACATCATCATTTAGGTATCTAAAAGAGAGTACATTTGCTATGTCAGCTGTCATGTTCAACAAATCATTAAAAACCGAAGAAGACTACTGCAACATGTCAGCAAGAAACTTATGGCTCATATACTATTCTCCCAAGATGCAGCATTTTGATTGCAGCACTTCAACTTGTGCTGCGTGAGATGAGATGAGATGAGATGAGAACACATTTTTATAATTCTCTGGGTCATGAAAGCGTCAGAGTTTGCTGTACATTTCCTTCTCATTTCCAGCGAACTGTTTGCTCTGTCTAGATGTGCTTGTAGTAAATCCACACTGAAGATAAGGTCACATATCACGCAAAAATTACAATGCGGGGACAAAAATCTAGCTGTGCTGATCGGTTTATGCTCAAGCTTATTCTTATAAGGAAAATTATTTCATATGACCATGTGTTCTGTCACATTATTAAGCATACATAGATGAGTTGTAAACACACACACCATGTCACTGAGCAAAGAAACATGAATTAATTCACATTATAGTATCACATAGCCTTACTGTATATAGTCATCAATGTGCCTGATCATCAAAATATAATAACATTGTAATTTTAATAACCTCATCTGTTGAAAAGCTTCTGCATATTGACATCCCTGTCATTAGATGCTTTCTAAACAGCCATTTCCTCACAATTGTCATTTTGTTATTGAGAGGAAAGAGTGCAGCGTGTTTAAATATTCAATTAAATATAGTCACCAACAGAATTATCAGTAATTTGCTGCAAAGGTATTTTTAAATTCAAAGAACAAAGTATCTTGAGGTGTTAGATCAAGGTCAGTCTGGGGTTCTAACATAGTGACAAGCTAGACGGAAGTACAACTCAATAAGGTTGTCACAATACTGGAATTGGATACCAATCGGTACTGAAATTTTAAAAACGTATATTTCCTGTGAACATTTGAGCGTTGTGGAGCACGTTTTTAAACAGCGCTGATTTGCCATTGTTTTCACATGCTCAACAGAAATGACTGTGATTGGCCATGAAGGTCATCGGTTCAAACTCACCACTGTTTACAGAGTGTAACCACAGATAGAGGGACACTGGAGCGTTTCAGAGTCACGTCAATCAGCTGATTTGTCTATAAGGTCACATACGAGTGGTTTGCTAATGAATCGTTGCTTTGTCCCTGTATCTGTGGTTACAGTGGTGAGTTTGGTCAAACGATGACCTTCACGGTCAATCACCAGTCATTTCTGTTGAGCACGTCAACACAATGGCAAATCAGTGATGTTTAAGAACGTGCTCCACAGCGTTAAATTTCAGTATTGATTGGTATCGAACTCCAGTATTGTGACACCCTTACGACTCAATGCTCCTACCACAGACGGCCAAATTTTACATTTTAGGATACTTTGAGATGTGTAGCTGATGAAATAGCCTCAGAGTTAATCCGTGTTTACAAAGAATATTGCTTCGACATGGCCAATCAGAGAATAAGAAGGAAGAATCAAGATGCAACAGAGGAAAATCTCAACGGCAATGAAGCTAACAGCACCAAGCTAACAGATGATGCTAAAATGAACAATGAAGAGCATGAGGTGATGAAGGCTCTCGCAATTATGAAGCACTTTTTCCTATCTCAATTCAAAGACGTTTTGAATGCTATTCAAGGGATTAAAAATGAAATTTTCTAATATGGAGGCAGATTATCAGAGGCTAAATACCGAATTAGAGAAAAATATGGGAAAGCTACATAAAACGGTAAAGATTCTGGAACGTCGAGTTGTAACACTCAGCGCAGACCTGGGGTGTGTTTCCAAAAACCATTGTTAGCCAACTAAGGTTGCAAGTTCCGTCGTTACAAACATAGTTTATTGATTTAGCATTTCCCAATTCCGTCATTCCAATAAACATTGGCAAACTGCATGACAAAATTGTACGTTTTCAACTACACCTCTAGAGCTGTAGATAGAAACATAGTTCCTGTTCCTGTTCTATTCCCAGTTATCTTCAGTATGCCTTATTCATTTAGAACGTTCCAACATTTAAACTTGGAATGATTAAAAAAAAGCATTAAAGTCATTTCTTTTAGGTGTAATTTGCTTTCAAATAATTTTTACAGTTCAGTTTTAGTGATCTCCTTATTGACAATTGCGTTCCCACTGTAGTGCACTTTGAAAACACATGCCATTTTGAACATCATGGCTCATTACAAAAGATAGGTGACCTATTATTTAAAAGCACAATATACGTTACGTCTCCAAAGCTTGTGGAAACAAAAATACATGGCATACGTTGATACTTTTAATTTATAGCAGGTCATTTATTAAGAAATGTCTCTGTACTGTAGGCCTATATGACATGGGCTTGTTGGTAAGAATATTTCTGCAGTGGTTTGAATGTGTAAAAGTAGACTTTTAAAAAAAGTAAATAAACAATATCCGACTTAATATTAATAATATTAAATTATTAATAATATATATATTTTTTTCATTCATTTTCTTGTTAGCTTAATCCCTTTATTAATCCGGGGTCGCCACAGCGGAACGAACCGCCAACTTATCCAGCAAGTTTTTTAGGCAGCGAATGCCCTTCCAGCTGCAACCCATCTCTGGAAAATATTACAATTATATTCATTATTATATATTATTATTATTACTATTGATTATTATTATTATTGAGTAGGTTTTTTTTCTCTTAATAAATTGCCTACTTTAAATTAAAACCATTAGCCTAACAATTTATATGATTTATATATGAAATTAAAATGGGTTAACTAAGTGGTTTTATGTTTATGACTAGAATATGGAATGTTCTAAATAATATTTGCAAAGGAAAGCATAGGCCCTATATGTGCCATTTATATATATTTAAATTAATATAGAAAAATAATGCATGTTTTAACCTAAACTATTGTTGATTTTTTTTAAATGCGAGTGCGTGTAAAACAATATAATTTGCAGAAAAAAGTATGTTTTTTTTTCCTAAAAAACTTGTAACTCCACCCCATTTGGAGCATCATTATGTACTTTTTACATTATAACTAATGTGATTCAAACAATGGATCTGCGACAGAGAAACTACGGTTTTGGAAAACACTCGTCACTACATGGTTCTTTTCCCAAACGATGCATCGTACTATGATAGTTCAGCCACGAGTTATGTTGTTGTTTGGGAAACGCACCCCTGGATGACTTAGGATCATGTTCAGTCTCCACAAACACAAGCAATACACAAACAAAGTTCACTTAACGTCCACCACTGTAGCTAATACCTATAATTTCGCAATTCTTCACATAACCCATCTAAAACATTGTTCTCCCAGCTTTTTGACATTCATGTTAAACACGCCATAGTACTGGATTAAACATGTTTGCATCACTCACAGGGCACGGCGCGCAGGTAGAGGTTCTCCCGTATGACTTGTTGGAGTTGGCTGTCCATGGATCCTGGTGTAAAGCACTTGCTCAGGTAAAGTCTTAGATCCTTACAGAGAGTCGAGCCTGCAGATCACAGACAGAACACATGAACATGAATGAGCTGGAAAGATCTGCAACCACTTTGTAATACCAACACTGTTGCCAAAACACAAATAGCTCACTGCTGTCACCATGGAAATATGAGGAAAAGGTAAACTGGCAAAGTGAATCTGTTAAAAACGCTGTTCAGAAGCCAAAAAGTAGCCCTTCGTAATACCAGATTTCCACAGCAGCTCTTCAGACCTCACACACACACTGAAACTGCACTGCAACTGCAGAAGTCTCTAAGGTCAGTGTGCTGTTGTCACAAACAAGCACTGCGGAGCCCCTAACGAGGACCTATCCTCCCCGCTCGCCTTCTCTCTATTGATTTTTGCACTTAATATAATCCGGTGGTCCTTTCCGCGCGCAATCTCAACACATGGACTCCTCAAGGACTCATGGGAAAGGTAGGATGAGTCATTTCCCGCTGATCTATTCATTTTTTAAAGTGCGTTATGACCTTAGATGACAGCCAGCTTCCTTTCATGCAGGATATTGATGGTCTTTGTGCATTGTGGACGGGGATTGCCTGTCCCGTTACTCGTGGGTGCTGGGCTCCTCCCTGCTCATGCTGACAGCGATCAATCGGTGCCGACCAGGGCAGAGAGTTACGGAGAGGTTAAGTAATAGAGTGCGGGATATCACATCCACTTAATGTCTGACACTCAACTGTGGGAAGGTGGAGACCTGGTGTAGAATTCGGGATATTAAGATACCTTTACATGCTGTTATTATGATAAAAAGTTTTGTTATTCGAGGGAACAGGACTGCATTAGCCTAAATGAAACATATTTACAGATCTAATAAATGGATACACACACAACTTTTTTACCAGATGTTTACATTCAATGACAAAATCAGCAGATTGCCAATAAATATGCACAGGTTTTCATGACAAGGCTTTAAGTGGCACAGATGTTTTGTTGGTCCCACTTTATATTAAGTGTCCTTAACTACTATGTACTTACATCAAAAAATAAATACAATGTACTTACTGTGTTTATAATGTATTTGAGAACACTTGTGGTTCCTTTGAATTGGAATAGAGGTTGGGTTATGGACAGGTTTGGTGGCATGGGTAGGTTTAAGGGTGGGTTAAGGTGTAAGGGATGGTCAACAGTGTATTTACAAATGTAGTTACAAAAGTTAATTACAGATGTATATACATACATGTATTTAATCAAGCATAAGTACACAGTAAATACATGTATTTACACAAAAAGTACATTGTAGCAAACTATTAATTCCTGTGTAAGTACATATTAGTTAAGGCCACTTAATATAAAGTGGGACCGCATTTAAAGACACACACACACAAAGTCTTTGCTTCCACCCTAAAAGGGCCATTACCTTCATGGTAATTAGAAATAATTTGTGAGATATTTTGAGCATAAACTTCAGAGGCACTGTAGGAATACCAGAGACATATATTACATCTTGCCAAAACGACATAATAGGACCCTTCATGTAGAGTTTATTACACATTAATCATTTGACTTCAGATGATCAGAAACATTAGATTAGTCTCTGAAATTCCATAAGGAAAGTGTTGGAATAATTAATCAATTCCATGAGTGTTCAATACAAAAGGTCAGGAGAGGTTTTTCTTCAATGTCAAAAATATTAGTAATTTATCGGATGCAAATTAATAATTCGATCACAGAGTTCACAGAATTAGGTTATCCTCAATGCAAAGCAAAAGTTACATTCAGGAGGTGCACAACCCAATTCATTTTTTGACTTCAACTTAAATAGGCAGCTGATATTAACAGGTGGAGTTTAGTGGAATTCCTCACTTGTCAAACATTCTCCAGCCCTCCATTGGCCGCACCCATACATACTTCCTCTTTTTCTACTAATTCTCTGCACAACATTAAAAGCATAAGTTCCAACACATTTCTGCTGACAGGAAGTTTAACTGCAGAGCTTAAGTTAATTTTACACAATCAGGCATTTGCATTTCGATCAGCTTCATCTACTGCTTCATTAGTATGCAAAGCATATCACACTCAACAGAAGAAGTTCAGTTAATATATCACCGTTAAGCAATACAAATGAAATGTTTAATGAAAATAAAGGGAGACAAAAATATGTTTAAAATATATTCCTTTTTCCCAACAGGGCCCCTTTTTGTGTTGGCCTGTACCCAATATATAGTTGGCCCATGCACTGGTGTTGGTGCTTGTTCAGCTTCTACACCAATACATGCTTAAACACTCAAATTAGTCAGATGTCTCCTCAAAAGATAAGCATGTAATGAAAATGCAACATATTGTGCCACTTTAATTTTAATTTGTTGCGATATATTACATCACACTTTGAAATGAATATTCATTCAAAAGTCGTCCCTAACAGTATTAAAAGTATTTTGCTATAAAGATATTTTTAAATTAAATTCAAAGAACAAAAAAAGTATACTGAGGCGTTGAATCATGTTAACTCTCCAAACACAAGCAGTAAGTTACAATAATGGCCCGTTTCCACAGAGTGGCACAGTGCGATACGGTATGGGTCCGTACGGGTCACATTTATCAGGCTTGTGTTTCCACTGACAAAAGGTTACCAATGGTATGACAGACAGTTTCAGTCGACGTCATTCTTGCTCGAGGGAATGTCAAAGTATAGCTGTACAGGTCGTTCACATATCATATGAGAAGCACTTCTCACAAAACAGATGCTTTATACACAAATTCTTGAGTATAAGTGTTCATTACTAACCTTTCTATGAACATGATTTGATTTTAATTGCAGATCAATGATAGTACATGATAGTATGTGATAGTATTGCCATAGCCATATCACCCTGCAGCCCAAGACCGGTTACTTTCTGAAGCTAAGCAGGGCTGAGCCTGGTCAGTACCTGGATGGGAGACCACTAGGGAACACTAGGTTGCTGTTGGAAGTGGTGTTAGTGAGGCCAGCAGGGGGCGCTCAACCTGTGGTCTATGCGAGTCCTAATGCCCCAGTGAAAGTGAAGGGGACACTACACTGTCAGTGGGCGCCGTCATTCGGATAAAACGTTAAACCGAGACCCTGACTCTCTGTGGTCAGTAAAAATCCCATAGCACTTCGCTTGAAAGATCAGGGGTGTAACCCCGGTGTCCTGGCCAAAGTCCCTCTATCGGCCCATGTGATCATGGCCTCCCAATCATCCCCTCCCAATCATCCCCGTCCACTGAATTGGCTCTATCACTGTCCCTCCACTCCACCAATAGCTGGTGTGTAGTGAGCGCACAGGGGCCGTTGTCCTGTGGCTGCCGTTGCATCATCCAAGTGGATGCTGCACACTGGGGGTGGTGTGGAGAGACCCCCCTCATAATTGTGAGGCGCTTTGGGTGTAAGGCCATACACAATAAATGCGCTATATAAATACACATTACATTACATTACATAGTATGAAATAGCCTACTGTAATGTCTGCAATTATATAGAATAAATAAATAAAAGCAACAAATATAAAACATAGAGCCCCTTACATATGTTACCAATTACAGAAAAACTACACACAGCATACATTTAGTCCTTATTTGCGTTCAAAAACAACACGCAACGTATAGGCCGCAGTCAGTGCAAACCTCTCATCTGCATCTTTATTCTTCACCAGCACATGTAACCTCTGTTAGAAAGTAATTCCATCATTCCGAGTTAATAACAGTCCAAAAGGCGATGATAATAGTTAAACATGGCAGTTTGTTCATGTCTTAGGTTGCTAAAAGAATCATTTGCTCAAGTTTTGTTAGGCTTCTCCTTTGTTTTTTCACGCTTCACTCTCACATTTGTGCATTTCTGAAAGGATCGGATGTCAGAAGCACTTCGATAATCATGCGCACGTTATATTCATCAGCTCAAGAAGTTCGCTATTTCAAATATAAACCCACATGCCAGCTTTCTCAGGAAAGTGAAACTGCTCGTGCATTAGATGGTCTTGCAAACAACCAACATTATGGGGCATAGGGGTAGATTCTGCTCTTCTTCTTGGCTTTGTGCCTGTTCATCAAGACGATGACATGGTTTATTTGAGCTCGGGTCGACCATGCCTCGTTGTTATATGTATATGTTAATACAGTGTAATGTCTCGGCTGTGTGTTTAAAAATGGCGCTTCCTTTGTTTTCACTCTCCTGGCTTTTGCACAATCTAGTGATGTATCTCTGTAAACCAATAGTGTTCAGCTGCGCGTCTGGCTCTTCCTTTTGGCACGCTTTTGTTGTGCTAGGTACCCTTTTGAAAGGGTACCCAAAATGTGGTACGGTACAGTTCGCTTTTAGGTACCTTTTGACAGTGGAAACGGCCTTAAAAGTTTACCAAACCATACTGTACCACTTGGTGGATACAGGCCATAGGTTCACTTAACATCCACCGCTGTAGGTAATAACTACGATTTCGGAATTCAGCAGGATGAGTGATGGAGCAAAAAATATATATTAATAGAAGGACACAGTGTAAATTGACATTATCATTCAACAGCACTGAATTTAATTTAATAAAGCACTAAAACAATTTTTGCATAGGTTCTTTAGTGATCCTTCTGAAACAATTCTAATATGATGATTTTGTGCTGTTTGAAACATGCTAACATTACTTATCATCACAGTTTCATAGTATTTACTAAGGTGTATTGTATTTGTTTGTCTTGTTTAATTACATTTCTTTCACCTTTGGTTATTTCCAAAAGTAACTATTATGTTTCCAAAATTCTACAGCTGCTTTTCTCAACCATTCAGTCTCTAAAAACATCCACAATGCTTCAGAGAAAGTTAAGTTTTTTTAAAAGACGGTTAAAAGCCCTTATTTTTTATATAAATTATAGCAAAAAAAATAAAGCCTGAGGTAACATTCTTGTTAGTTTAGGACGTGTTGACAAATCAGAGAGAGTGAAAACGCCTTCATTAGGCATTCATTAATGGTGTCAAGAACAACTAAAAATTCATGACATTATCGTGCAGATGCTAGACATGAATATAGTAAATTGAATCCCCATGGAGAATTTGGAGCTTGACATATTCAGGCAGGTTACATTAGGATAATGCAATCCACAGGCAGAATGACACTAGTGGGCAACATGTCAACACTGTGATCTACTCAGGGCTATATACTGTCAAAATATATAAAGCTCTTAAGTATTTAATCGAATAAGTGCAGCAAAATGCAGAAAAATACAACCCCATTTAACAAGAAAAAAACATTTGCAGATGTGAGCAGAGATCTGGGCCAGTGATGAAAAGGTCACAGGTTTAACCTCAAGGCAGAGGTGTCCCATGAACCAGAAAGTTACTGAAATTTCCAATGAGATTCTGAGAGAACCCCACAATAGGTTGTTACGCCACCAAAGAGGGTGACATATTCAGGTTAGTTCTGCTTAATTATGTTTGTTTTAAAGACAGTTTATCTAAAAGCAAAGCATTACAGTATGTCAGTATTTACTCACCCTCAAATTAGAAAGTAAAGTAAGATAGTGAAGCAACTTTCTGAGAGAAGAGTTAAAGTAAATGAAATCTAAAGCATAAATGGTCAACCCTTTTAACCAAAAGGATAAAAGTGCATAATTAAAATAACATAAGAGTATTATTATTTTTTATAATACATTTAAAGTCTTCTGAAGCAATAAAATAGCTTTATATCAGATATTACAGTTAATATTGTATATTAGGGTTGTCACGATACCATCAATTCAGGCCACGTCACTATACCAGCAAGTAGTATCGCAATACTGTATAATTCATAACTCAAATCTATGAAATAAGGCAAATTGTCAGAAATATTTATATGTCATCATACATAAATTCAATTCAGAATTACGATATTATTGAAACATTATTATTGAATTATTGGTCTATCGTTTATTACAAATGTAATAACGATACTACTGTTTACAAACTACAGTGGCACCGCCAGTATTTTGGAGCCATAGTATTGCGGTGCTACCAAAGTATCGGTAAACTGTGCAACCCTATAACATTCTTATATGAAAAAAATAGTTAATAATTTGACTCTTTGATACTTTTTGTAAATTTTTCATTGATTCGGTAAAGAATTTATTTACAAATTGGACTGATCATCTCGATCAGTCCAATTTGTAAATAAATTTGATACTAAATTGACAGAGACTTGTATCATGAGATATGAAACATGTTTATAAACGTCTACACTATAAAAAGCATTTCGTTACTTTATGTTAAAAAAGGGAGGAAACCTGTTGTCTTAAAACCTGATTTACTTCAAAAAACTTATCTGAACTTTTATAATTATGCACATAGTTTATTTAGTTGGGGTGGCACGGTGGCACAGTGGGTAGCACCGTTATCTCACAGCAAGAGGGTCTCTAGTTCAAGGCCTGGCTGGGTCAGTTGGCATTTCTGTGTGGAGTTTGCATGTTCTCCCAGTGTTCGCATGGGTTTCCTCCACAAATCCAAAGACATGCACTTTAGGTAAATTGGGTGCACACCAACATAGTATGGCTAAAAATCTGATTCAATATAGGTTTATTTAGTTAATAATTTTAAGGCAATGAGTTTAATCTAGATTTTCAAGTAAAGTCAACTAATCGCATTTTGTAGCTAAAAATAATAATAATTTTATTATAATTTTCTCTCCTATTAAAAAAGCATGAAAAAACTGATTTACAGGATGAAAACAACATCAGAGTGAGTAAATGGTGACAGTGTTTTCTGACTATTGTATCTTTTTCAAACACATATTCAGTTTGCTCTCATCAGTGATTAAAGTACCTGGAGAGACGGTTTTGATCCGAATGGGATGTGGACATGAGTTGAGAACCCCTCTTACGTCTCCCAAAGTTAGTCCCAGGACAGGTGTTCCCCCAATCTCAAGGATGATGTCTCCAACAGTGGCTCCTCCCCCAGGTGCTGCAGTAACGAATGGGAACTCTCCATAATCTGCACCACCTCCAATGGCCACGCCAAGCTCTCCCGAGCCTCCGCCCAGCGGGACGAAGCTCTCCTGCACTTTTGAGCGCCAGTGCAGCTTCTTAACAGTGGCCTTAGACATGTTGACAGCGCTGGAAGAAAGAGAAAAAACACCAGTCAGGAAAATATTGTTAAAAGTAAATGTTCTATGCTGAAAAAAATGACAAGGGTTTGCCATGTGGTCAGAATGCTCCATCCATTGCATAATTTTAACCATTTTAGCAAATGAGACTGTAGTGAGCTTGTGTTATTACAGGTCGAACAGTTTAGAACAGTGGTTCCCAACATTTCTTTTGCCTGCAACCACCTTTTCCCCTGGAAAATATTGTAAGGCCCCCCTCAACATTTAATGATATTACCGCTCATATAAGTTTGCAGTAAGGATGACAAAAAATTTTGTTTTCAAACAAACAGTGTCTTTATACTATATCTAGATATTTTTATGCACACATAATAGCCTAATGTAAAATGTAAAGGCAAAACATCAGTAGGTCATTTGTAACTGAAAAAAAGTAAGCCTTTGGCCTTTCAATTGGCCCTATATTAGTTGCCCATTTTTAAAACGTTTCTTGTCAGTAGCTGTGACGTCCATCATCTAAGTGAAGTTTAGTTTTAAACTAATTTCGAGAGGAGCATGTACTCATGATTTACCCAGCTGGTCCACATTAACTAATTATGATCCTCCAATCAAAGGATCCCAAATCACTATATATATCCTCAATTCCTTTCTACAACTATCTTCGTCTGGAAGAAACCCCCCTCCTCCCCTTCTTCCTCCTTTATCCAGAATGGGCGGCACGGTGGCCCAGTGACTAGCACTGTTGCCTCACAGCAAGAATACCAATGGTGTTGGGTCCTCGCTGAGCCATCTGGTATTTCTGTGTGGAGTTTGCATGTTCTCCCCGTGTCCGCGTGGGTTTCCCCCGGGTTCCCCGGTTTCCTCCCACCATCCAAATGTGCTCTATATTATAGATAAAACAAGCCTAAACCTTTTTTATAAGTTCGCCTTGGCCTCAGCAGCGGGGGAGTTTGAGATAGACCTGAGCTCAATCTTTACTCGCCCTGCAAAAGGGGGGGAGCCCTGGGCTCGAGGATTCCTTGAGCTCAGGGCTCTCTCCCGGGACAGCATGCCAAACAAGCTATGTATAAATCATGAGCTAAGTGTGAACGCTTGAATTTTGGGAGTGTGTTAATTCTTTTGCCTTGTGCTTGAAAAACGCTCTGAGCTTGTCGCGGTATTGGGAATGAGTTGTCTGCAAATGTTAAATGTTTCAATAATTTGGATGGCCTCATGCATTCTTAGCAAGAACTTTGGCGCAGAAAATGCACTGTGGCTGGGTCAGGTACTCTTTGCTTTGAGAAAATGGAATAAAACCATAGTTCAGCTAAATATCAAGGTATTTCCTGCATTTTGTGTTTCCAGTATAGCTAGTGCTGCGACCCAAAATGTTTGGAGCTTCCTCACCTGGGTCCAGTATGCTTGGGCTGTAAGCATTAGCTGCTGTAGACAAATTAGTGAGTCGAATTACACTGTATTTTTTGCAGAGCCAGGGAATAAAATCAATTAAGGCAACATGATCATTCTCCTAATTGTCCACTGCTATTTTTTTTTTAAATATGACTTGACCCCCTCCACAGAGCTTGCTGAGGCCCTCTTGTGGGGCGGGACCCTCCTTTTGGAAACCGCTGATTTAAAAGATCAAGTTATAATTTTGAAATGACAAAAAAAAAAGTTAAATCAAAAGATCGTTGTTTGATGAGGATAGTTAGTTTGCATGGTGGATGATGATGGGTTTTTTTTGTATGTTATTGTATTGTGAATAATTTTGTTCCCATTTTAAAATGTGGAGGTACTGTTTGTTTTATGCATTAAATGTATTTTGCAGCCATACCTAACTTTTTAACAGTGAAGAACACAATTGTATTGTGTTTTTATCCTCAATGGTTTTTCTTCAAAAGAAATGGGATACTTTTTGTACAGTTAGTCTAAATCTTGTCAAATAAAAATTCAATTCAACTAATATTCTCTTAAAGGGCCATGAAACCCCACTGTTTCGGTTGAAGTCTACCTCAGAATTTTTTCAAAAAATGCTCTGAGATCGGCGTGGAGCTCTGCAAGCAGGGGGTGGAGTGGGTGTGGCCGGCAGAGCAGGGGAAAAAGAGGGGAGCAAACAACTGTCAGTTGGCTCACAAAATGAGACACAAACCGTGAGGAGACCCATGATTTTATAGTTGATAAAGTTAAAATACAAAGAAATAAACAGTAAGTAATTTAATATCCTGCTACATTTGTTATTCGTAATTTTCATATATAATTTGTTATATCATTGTTACAATATTATCGTGTTTGAACACTGTAAATAAGGAGGACTTTTCTCCTCCTAAATCCCCGGGTTTGAATGCAGACACAGTGGATAGCTGTTCAGCAGGTTTCTTTCCCTATCTATTTCAATCATTAGCCCTGCCGGTAATCCAGAGGATTTTAAAACTAGGCGAACACAGTAGCACAGATCTAAATGTGTCTGAATGGTAACAAACTCAACTGATAAAAAAAAAGTTTGCCTTACTTCAATTTTCATACAGCTCTCTTGACAAAAATGCTTGCTGCAAAGCAGGGTCTTCTCATAGGATAATCAAAACTCAGCTATGAATAATAATGAAAAACCGACGCATCATCACTCCACTAGCAGATGTGCGCTACATCACCGATTTTGATCCCGCACTAAAAATTATTTTAAACCCGGAAGATGAAATTAGCAGACAAAAGCTCAAAAATTATCCAGTTTTCCTCACGATTAAAGCTGACAGGTACTAACATTGTATTAACTGATGCTCAACACAAACAAATTTGTAAAAATTTTGTAAAAAAACAAAAAAAAATTATTCAATGGTGTCTTGAACCTTTAAAAAAAAAAAGTTTCCACAAAAATATGAAGGCAAGCAGCACAATTTAGATCGTAAGATCGCTAATGAAAGATGTTACTAAATCAGGTCAATCAGCATTTTACATTAGCATAAATCATTAGCATGATTTCTGAAGGATTGTGTGGCTGAAGGCCCAACTAATGGCCGTAAGCAGAGAGATATTTTAATGCACCTTTCAGTAAACCTACTCATCCAGGCAAACAGTCTATTGTAACTGTGACCAAACGAATGAAACGCATTTACATGCAAAATAAGAAAACGTATCCCATAACTCATCTAACAGCAAAAAAACAGAGAGTCAGGGGCTTTCGCAAACACATTTACGTGAGTCCCAGTGGTATTCCACAAGCTAAACACATGATACGAGTCTCCAAATTGAAACAAAACAAGCAAACAGATGGTCAAAACGCAGTGGGGGGTGATTTCATCCACAAACACAATTTACAAGGGCTCATTAAAAATGCATAGATCTATTTCAGGTGTCAACGAATCAGCTACCGAAAATTTACACATTTTCGCCATCAAAACTCTATGGTGCTTCCCATTCAGCATCTTAAAGTTGGGGGAAAAAAACAGAAAACGCATCAGCATCTCGGTGGATCTGCCAAATTACGCATCAGGTTTGGCTGCAGAAGGCCTCTCTCTCTCTTACGGTCTCTCTCTCTGTATGCTTGCCATATAGCAACTCAGTATAGATATGAATCAACAACATGCTAACAACAAAAAAAACTTACAAGCATTTGACAAAAACTAAATCATTTGCTCATCTGAAAACAACCCTGCAGTGCAAAGATCACATGCTAGTTAATGCATTATCTGATATGCATCAGCAAGGAGGAGGGTGGATGACTGTTTAAATAGACAATACCAACAGTTATATAGTTACAGCTCCACCATTGCAGTAAACTCAGGGAGGGGAGGAGACCGTGTATTCCGGCGCTGCGGGTCTTTTCCATTACCTCACAGAAAAAGCGAGAAAGTTACAACTTCAGGTCGTACAGACTCTGCCTGGAGCTGTGGAGAAACAGCGGCTCGAGTCACCTTAAAAACTCAATGCAAACAGTAGCATGAGCACTTCAAACGCTCGGTATCAAAGTCCATCCAAACCTGCCGCAGTGTGTTCGCACCTCACTTGAGCACACACACATACACGCTCAGCACAGTGTGAATGTGATATAAGCGTGTGTGTGTGTAGGTAAAATACGACTCAGCACTTAGGATTTAAGATTAATATATAACTTAGCTTTAAATATGCATCTGGATCTTGTCTACCACTTTGTTCGCTGCGGTTGTGGGATCCCTCTGGGATGGTGTTTCATGTGTCAGACACACACTTCCGTCTGAGGCAAGTTTCTTCGAGTATATCACTGCTGCATGACATCTGTGTATTTTAGCAAGATCTAAAGCCAGCTCCCTCTCTGATTAAATCCTTGCTTGCATCTTCCGCATTACATATGCATGCTGAGTGTTCGTGGGCCGCTGAGAAGTTGAGAATAATTGATTAAGTACTTTGGAAAGGTGCCCAAACTGCCACCCCATTTCACTTATGAATAAAGAACTCATAACCCCAAAACAAAAGGAACTGCTTGTGTCTTTAAAAGCTTTTAAGACCGAATTAAAGTGACAGTTGAACTAAAAGTGAAAATGTGCTCACTATTTTTTCACCATCAAATGGTTCCAAACCTTTATGAGTTTCTTTATTATGTTAAGAAGATATTTTGAAAACCATTAGCTTTTATAGTTGGAAACACAAATACTGTGGAACTCAGTGGTTACATGTTTCCTGCTTTCTTCAAAATATCTTATTTTGTGTCTAACAGAAACTCAAACAGGTTTGGAACAAGTAACAAGTGAGTAATTACTGACATATTTTTTACTTTTTGGTGAACTATCCTTTTAACGTTCCCTCATCGGATGCATTTTGAAGCCATTCAGTGTTTTTTTTTAGTCAACTTTATTTGAGTACCGGGAAATCTTTGATGGGGTGAGTGTGCAGCATGACACTTTTACAGGCATTTATTTAGTAGATGCTTTTATCCAATCAAACTGACACCCTACCAGTCAAAAGTTTAAGATTTCTGAAAGTCTGTAATTACATTGCTTCTCAGAAATCATTCTAGTACAGTACTAGAAAGTAAAAAAAAAAAACAGCCTTCTAGTCTTTACT